CTTGAGTGCTGGGATGACCTGTGGCCATGTGCCTGGTTTCTGTGGTGTTGGGTCTCATGGTCAAGGTTTCATGGATGTTGGGCAAGCTTCCTACCTACTGAGCTACAGGCCTGCTCTCTTCTCTTTACTTCTAAAATCTGTATAAATGGCAGTTTCAAATGATGCCTTTGCTATAGAGAGGAAGCTAACAGACATACAGTTGGAGTCAGGGTCTGGGGAGTCAGTGCCTGGGTCCATGGCTTCTCCGCTGACTTACTGTGTGATGTTGGTCAAAGCAATCAGCCTCTCTGGGGCCAGGCTCGCCATCATTTTCTTTGTACAAAAAGGAATGCTGTTGTTGGCTGATCTGTAGGGGATGGACAAAATGAAGGAGATGGCCCTCGAGAAAAGAATTAGGTCTCAGGGCTTCGCCTAAAAGCAGGAGGGGAGTAGGGTACTGCGTCTGCTCACTCCCTCGGCCACTCAGTCTGGCCCCTTCTCAGGACTGACGTTTGTAATCTGCAATGCCACGCTGACTTGGCTTGTTACTCAAAAATATTGCAAGCAAATATTAGCTCAAGATAATGCAACAGGAGCAACGCAGAGGCCAGTTTACCCGGAAAAAGGAAAATCTCACTGTGTTTTCAAATGATAGCGTGTGATTGCTTCCAGAATCACGCCTAAGCCCCCGTTTTGTGGCAGCAACAACATGCCCTGGGAAAACATCCTGGGGAGTGTGGGTACCCCAGGCCAGCTCTGTGTCTGTGCGATGTCCAGCTTGCTGAAAATCGTCCTCCCTGATAAGGTGCTTGTTAGAGACACGGGGACTAAATTTATTGTTGGCGTTTGGGGAGCCAATTTCCATGTCATACTGGCGGAGCTAGGAGCTGGGGAAGAGCGCTGGAAGCCAAAACTGCCTTTGTGGCTCTGCTTGCCTCCGCTCCGCACCACCTGCCTCCAATCAAACTGTCCAATTACAGGAGACGATTGTCCCTCCCTCCACTTTCTGGGAAGGGAAGAAACTCATCCAGGAATGGACCGATTTCTAAATGCTTTCTCTCCCCACCCCTGAAAAAGAAGTGGTGTGTCAGGGGAGATAAGAAAACCCAACAACTCCAAACAGAGTGCCAGAGGAGAAAGTGTCTCCTGCCGCACCACGTTCAAGGTTCAAAAACCAGAATGTCGCCGCCGTCCACACACTTCTGTGTTTTTGACCACTGCCGTCAGGTCTATAATTACCTCTTCTAATAAAGTTATTAGCCACTCAGAAAGAAAGCATCTCCTTTTTTAACACGAGAGGCAGTAATTAGAGGCTGCAGATTTCACAGGTGAAATCTTGCAGAAAGTATTGAGTTTGAAGTCAAAGAATTTACCAATCCACCCCGACATAATTACACTTTTTTTTTCTCCAAACAAAATCTTGTGTTTGAAACAATGAGTTTGGAGCAAAGATACTATTTATCTGTGAGCCTCTCTCTCTCTCTCTCTGGAAACTTTCTTTTGACTTACTTTGGCTTTTCTGAAAAGGCTCAATTCAAAGCTGAGAAGCAGAATGGACTAGAAGGGGCTTGACTTGGCAGACGGCATGTGGCACGCCACGAACCCTGAAGGTAATTACAGACATGCTTACCCCTGGCAGGCGTCAGTTGAAGGGAACTACGGAACCCCTCTGGATACTTCTAGTTCACATTTGAGTTATTAGATTATCCCCATTAGAAATAACAATGGGACCACTCACTCTTAGGATTCCATAGGGACTCATGGAAACCATTTAGGTGTACCTTTCTTTGTGTGTGTGTGTGTGTGTGTGTGTGTGTGTGTGTGTCCGTGTGCGCGTGCCTGAGTGTATGTATGCATGAATGCACACATGTACTCATGCATGTACACGAGTGCACATTTTTGTGTGAAGGTCAAAGGCCAGTCTCAAGTGTCCTCTCAAGTGCCGTCCACTTGGCTGCTTTTGTTTTCTCAAGACAGGATCTCTCACACAGCTTGGAGTGCATCAGTTTGGCTCTGGGCTGGTTGGCCAGGGAGCCTCATGTTGGGATTACAAGCATGCACTGCCACATCTAGCTTTTATTTTTTAACGTGGGTTTTGGGGATTGAATCAGGTTCTCGTGTCCAGCTATCTCCTCAGGCCCGTTGTGGGCTTTTTTCATCTCATTGCTAGCAAGAGCTTTGCATTTGCAAGACTACAACCCTAGGCTGACTGAGCCGGCATGGGAACCTCTCTCCACTCAGAACCCACTGAGGTCACTCAAGGGGATGACTGCACTCCAGGGGAGTTCTCCTGTGTGGAGGGCAGCAGCTGCTCTCCTCCTCAAGAGCCTTCCCTGGACCAGAGTCTCAGGGATACCTTCACCTTTCTGCCCTGCTCTGGGCCTGATGGATCACTCTCCTGGGCAATCGCTCTTGTGCATGGTGGCTCTCACTGGAGGTGGACTTCCTGATGACCAGGGAATTTCTTGTCCTTTGGTTTGAAATGAAGACATGAAGGAACTGGTGGTTGGGAAAAATAAATGAGATCGTTTCCTCCTAGTTTTCTAGATACTTCCTTTGGATTCCTTGAGAGTTCCTTTATACTCTCATTGTCCCTTAAGTATCTATCCACCTTTAGGAAATGTTGGCTCCCTTCCCTCCAACTCTAATGCACCCCAAGGCAATCTCTTTTAGGCTGTGAATTCACTAATGACCTGTGGTCCCCAACTCTGAGGCTGGTATTCTCATCCTACTCTGGGAGGGACTTGGGAGAGGGATGGGGGTTGCTAAGCACCCAGGCTCCATCACTGAGTGCTGTGTTCTGGTTTTCTTTGGGTGTATGTATGCATGCCCATGTGTGCAGAGGACAACTCTGGGGGCTGTTCCTCAGGAGCTCTTCAGCCTGATTTTTTGAGACAGGGTCTCTCACCGAACCTAGAGCTTTGGTTTGGCTGGACTGGCTGGCCCCACGGCTCTTCCCATTTTGGTTTCTCCCCGGTGCTGCGGATACAAATGTGAGCCACCAAGGTTGTTATCTGAGTTTCAGGGTTCCAACCCAGATTCTCATGCTTGCAAGCCAAGAACCTTATCCACTGAGCCAGCTCCCCAGTCTAGCGCCCTGGTTCTCGGCTTGTGAAGACAGGTCCTTCCCTCACCTTTATAAGTCTCTGTTATTCCAGGAAATGGTGAGAAGAGCTAGTAACGCGTGCTTAGACCTGTTAAATTGAAATCATTGGTCATGTGGTACTAGCCCAGGTAGAGCTTACTGTGCTTCAAGTACAATTCATGTTGGCCTCAAACCTGATCTGCCTTGACCATCCTGGCTACCAGTCCCCACATGTAGTTTAAGTTAGTGAGAATGAAATAAAAGCTAAAATTCCAAGTAGTCACATTTTAAGCACCCACAGCAATAGTAAGTGCATTTGGGTATTCTCTTAGACAGCACAGAAATATAGAACATTCTAGAACATATTACAGAAAAGTTTCCACATTAATGATGTCCTCTGGCTATGTCTGCTTTCTTTCTGACATCCCTCTTGCCTGTGTCTAGCAATACCACCCACCTAGATCTTCCAGCTCGCCCTTGAAGCTGGGTGTGCCGGGTTGGGGTTAACAAGAGATTCTGGGGGTAGGTGCCCTCAAACAACATTGCTGAGCTCTGTGCTCTGATTCCTTTTGTGTCACAGTTTTTGTTTTTCCAAAATGTGGACAAGCCTAGGTTCTATATCAGGGAACTGTGGAGATCAGGCAAAAAGATGCAGGTCATGTACCCAGGGACGCACAACAGGTATTACGTGAGGATAGACTGAATCATTCTCAACTCATCAGAAGTTCTGCCTCTCCCCCTTCCCTCACACTGTCACCTACTGGGTGAGTTTATGTCCCTCCCAGCAATCTGTGTCCTGAGTCATTCTCCCCCAGGCCTAATGGGTCCCCAGTGTGTCCCTGCAGCCTCATCTCTGGCTCCCTATCTCTAAGCTATCCCTGTATCCTCCTGGTCAGAGAGGTGGTGGTGGTGGTGGTGGTGGTGTGTGTGTGTGTGTGTGTGTGTGTGTGTGTGTGTGTGTGTGTGTGCGTGTATCCATGTTTGTATGTGTTGGTGCTTATAGATGTTTATTCCCAACAGTGAAAAAACTTGAGTGCTATTCCTCAGATGCCGTCCACTTCTTTTTTTGAAAGAGGGCTTCTCACGCCTTGGAACTCTCCAAGTAGGCTAGCTTGGTTGACCAGTAAGCCCCTGGGGTCTGCCTTTCTCTGTCTACCCTGTGTGGGGATGATGAAGTGAGGCATTAACATATGCCTTTTCTTTGACATAGGTTCTGAAGATTGAATTCCAGTCTTGCAAGCACTTACCTGATTAAATAGACTCCCTAGACCCAGAGGTATCTTTCTGAAATAGATACCTGATCATATGTTTCCATCAGAAAATACCCAAATTGTCCCCCGCATCTTAGGGGTTAAATGCCACCTCCTTACAAAGCACACGGCCCGAAGACGATCATTATTGTGTTGTCCTCTTCCCTTGCTCTGATTCTGCTGGGGGATCTAAACAACTGGGTGGCTAGATATGGGTCACTCTCATCCTGATGCCATCTGGTCCTCGCCTTGCCTCTCTGAATACTCCCACCTGTGCCGTCTGTAGCCCCGCAGGCCTTTGGGCCACCTCTGCTCCCAGTCCCTATGGTTCTGGTGCTTGTTTCTGTGAGAGCATTAGGAATCTAGGACACGACTGGGCCGTCTTCAGCCACGCTCCCAGGTGCTCACCCACTAAGGCCGTTTTCTGGAAGGCTCTCGAAGGTCTCCAGTGAATGGGGATGATGCTGTTGGATTTAGTTTCAGGGCCAATGTCCCTTCCTTCTCTATACCCCACAGAGCACAGCTCTCTTTACCAAAGCGAGCTGTAGACAGAGGCAGCCTGCTGCCCCACCGTGAGGTGAGGTGGTGACTCAGGGGATAACTGTGGGCAGGGGGGCTTTCCAGCAACCTAGTTAGCTGAAACCACACAGCAGCCTTCCCAGCCGGTGGGGTGACCTACTTCTCAATTCCTGTAGCCTCAACGCCCAGCCGGCAGAATGCTGATGAGGGAAGCCATGCTGGCCTCTGATGAGAAAAGGGGACGGAGATGCCACTGATTGATTTGACCTTGCAGAGCTGTGGGGACAGGATGTTCTGTTCTTTCTGATGCTGTGAAGTGGTCTGGGTGAAGGGGACTTCCTGCTAATCTGGTAAGTTCCTAAGGAAGGGGGACAGCCAAGGCCGCTTAGTCACACTCAGCCAAGAGATTCTTTATTCAGCACCCCTAACCTTCCCGGGTGTATTTCCCAATTAGAAAGGAAAAAAATCCCAAAGCGTTCCTCACCCAGGTCCTCATTGTGCGTTTTAGGGCTGAGGTGAAAATTGAACTCTGCGAGTTTCATTGAACTGGGTCCCCATGAGGTTGGCAGCTGGTCGCTACATCCGGGCTGGTGCAAGGGCTCCCGTCTCGGCATCCCCGGCAGGAGGAACTGCAGGTGGGGCATCGAGGTGGGCACACTTACCCTGCCTCAGGCCATCCAGCCCCAGAGAGATGTAGAGACACCCAGCCCAGGCCAGCCACTGTTTTCTCCATTCTTTCTCCTGTCTGGTTCTAATTCCACAAGAGCACCTCCTTCTGTATGAATCTTTCCCAGCCTACCTCCATTCCTGTTCCACAGGGATGGCCCCAGATTTCCCTCCTGGGACTCCTGTCAGTAAAAACCTCCCTAATTGGCTGTGGTTTCTCTCTCTCCACTCCGCTCTCTCTGGCTAGGACATCCCTGGAAGCCAGCAACCTACTACTGAGCACTGTCAGCCCCAGGAAGGAAGAGGGCCTGTGAATATTGACCCTCCAGGTACCTAAGATGGCAGGCTACAGCCCATCCTGCAGGAACCAGACTTTTAGACTCCCCGCCCCCAAGAGTTTTAATTGCAGGTTGGATGGAGAAGGACATTGTAGAATAGTAGAAATGGGCCTTTAGAGCCGATGGCTTAACCTGACTTGCCTCCCTCTGCATTTACTGCGCGCAGGCAAGCGCGGCAGGATCTGCAGGCAGCATGTGGAGCAGGGGGAAAGGGGACTCGGGTAACTTCTCACACAGGTACTATTACTACTGCTGAGGCACACAAGGAGTAGGTGGAGAGCTAGTTAAGACCTGGTCTGACTAGATAACTTGACTTTTAGGGTTTCTTGACTTCTCTGACTCTCAGTCGACTCATCCGTTGAATGGGTTTAATCATAATGACCACATAGGAAAGATGTAGAAACAGCCTGAATGAATGTCCGTTGACAAAAAGATGCACACAGGAGGCATGGCATCTACAATCAATGAAATAATATTCAGCCCTCGAGAAGAAGGAAATTCTGTAACAGACAATAGCACAGGTACGCCTTGAGGACGTTATACTAAGCAGAATAAGCCAGGCACAGAAAACAAACACCGCATGACTCCATGTACTTGCAGCATCTGGAAAATAACCACTCACAACTCAAAGAGTGGAAGGGTAGCTGTTTACCAGGAGGTGGTTGGGAGGAGAGAGTGGGCATGAAGTTTCCCCAAAGCAGGATGGATAAACTATAGACACTGGACTGATCGTCAACAGTAATTTCTTGAACACTTACCTGTCTGTTAACACGGACAATCTCATATCGAGAGTTCTTACCACAATACAAAAAAAAAAAAATTATCTGCTAATATGGAAACGTCTCATGTTTTCATTTCTGATCCTATCAGAAATTTAAGTATCGATGAGATGTTGTCTCTCTTATGGAAATGTAGATTTATGTATTTCCAGCTCACTTAATTAGTTCTAAGACAGTGTGCCCAGTATGTGATGCATTGGACTGTTGGTAGCTGTGCCCACTAGTTGATGGCTGAAGGAGGAGCTCAAAGAGGGAGACTGAGGCAGGTGATGATGCACGAGCTGGGGTTATTTGGACTTTTAATTCACTCCTCTAAAGAGCACCCCCCCCCCATGTCAAGTGACCTATGTCGAGGTCAGAGGGTGGCCTTAGGATTCAATCCCTCACCTTCCAGGCTGTTTGAGACAGGGTCTCGTTGTTAATTTTTTCTGTTGTGCATGCTAGTTGGCCTTCGAGCTTTGGGAGACTCTCCTGTCTCTGTCTCACACCTCTCTGTGGGAGTGCTGGAGTTAGAGGTGTGTTACGGCAGCCATCTTTTTGAGGGCTCTAGGGATTCGAACTCAGATCTTCGTGCTTATGTCAAACGTGCTTTATGCGCTGGGCCATCCCCCCAGCCTCTAACTCACTCTTTGAAGTCTTGAACTTTATGGAAACGTCTCATGTTTTCATTTCTGATCCTATCAGAAATTTAAGTATCGATGAGATGTTGTCTCTCTTATGGAAATGTAGATTTATGTATTTCCAGCTCACTTAAAAAACTCAATAGACATTTTCATTTGCTGATTTCAGGCAACAAGGCCAAATCTCTCTTAAATAAATGACAACATGTTTAGGAAGTGTAAACTGAGGCCTCTTTCTCAACCTCGTCGAGCTAACACTTCCCCCTCAGTGTCTGGCGCAGTCTGTGGATCCCAAGCTCTTGTGGCCACTAAATCATGGTGTGCTCAGCCCTTAGACACCTACAGACTCAGGAGAGTCTGGGGTCTGGGGCAGTGAGCGAGGAGGGAGTTTGCAGCCCCATCCTTTGTCCCCCACTGAGGCCTGTGAGTTACAGAAAGCATTGTCCACATGGCGGCCAGTTACATGTAAGGTTGACTGGATGTCAGGTCCAGCCTCAAAAACCTGACGAAATGTTTACAAACTGTGGAGAAACCTAGGAAAACTGATCCTCTTGAAAACTTTTGTGTCTGAGCTGCCACCTGAGGGATAGTGTGGCCCCCACCGCCCCTGGGTCTCCCACTTGTCTCCAGCCTGGAGCACTTCCTGAATCAAGTCATCATCTGCCTCCTTGTTAAAGGCTGCTGACCACAAATGAACAAGCTGCCGTTGTCTCATCACTTCTGTGACCGATGTCACCCTGTGGGCTACCCATCCTTCCCACCGCAATGGGACAGAGGGGCTTGACTTCCTGCAGAGGCAGGATGACAGCCTTGTCAGGCTACTCTCGTGATGAAGCAGGTCTGCAGCCCAGAGCCCCTTACTCTCTTCAGCAAGTCTGTGCCTGTTCTTCCCCCAAGGCTAACTATCGAGGACGACACTGGTCACCTCTATCCTCCTACCCCCTGTACTAAATATGCCCCCCAGCATCTTCATTCCAAGTATTGACTCCCGTGGGGAGGGTGTGGCCATCTGGACCTCAGGTCTAGCTGAAACCCCGTTTCCTAGTTGAGCTCTACAGCAGTCTCTCTCCCATCCAATAAGGGACAAAGACAGTATGACTTAGTAATGTTCTCCCAAAGAGCAAGTTGACAGTGTTGATCAGGGACTTACGAATGTTCCTATCCCAGAACTTTAACTCCCAGACATTTGTGTCAAGAACAGGCCAGGTCTGTAAGCACTGATTTCCATTCTTAAATGTATGGGGAGTGATCATTTTATATATCTAAAATAGAGGCATCAACAATAAATTCTGCTATTTACATACATAAAATATTTTAAAGTCATTAAAATCCACTTAGGGGCTTGGGAGAACACTCACCTGGTAAGTACAGACTTGGTGTGCAAGCTTGAAGGATTTCCCCAGCATAAATGTATAAGCTGAGCAGGGTGGTGTGCATCTGTAACTCCAGTGCTGGGGTGGGGGTGGGGGTGGGGGGGCAGTAGCAGACAGGCCACTAGAACTTAAGGGACAGCCAGTCTAGTCGATCAGTGAGAGACCCTGTCTCAAAAGAGAATGTAGGAAGTGATAGAGGAAGACACATGGCGTTGACCTCTGACCTCCACCCCACCCCCCACATGCATGTGTATGCATGTGCACACAAAAAAGCTAAATCAGTTTAAAGAGCAGCTAATAATATGAGAAGATATTAATGTTATGATATTAGATTTAAACTATTAAATCTAATTAAATGTAAAAACAAATATGCATGTAGACATGGCATGTTATGTATTTGTGAAGAGAAGGGATGGGAGGAAAGGAGAGAGAGTAAGAGAGAGAGAGAGGGAGGGAGGGAGAGAGAGAGATGGGGGGTTGACTCTCACCTAAAGTTTCTGGCTGGTGAACACTGGGCCCATAGGGTTAATATGGAGCTGGAAAACTCCTTATCAGCCAGTAGCATGGTCACATTCTCTGTAGTTCAATTCACTGCTTAGCATGACTTATGCATGTGTCATTACAAACTGGGCTGCATACATGAATACTTAACATCGCACTCCAGCTGCCGTACGGCATCCAGTGTGGCACCAGCCTGTGCGGGTGCAGAGACTAGGAGAAATGGGCTGTGCCGTGCAGCTGAGGCCTGAAGTGTCGGTACATTTCTTAGGAAGACTCTCCATCATTAATATATGTGTGGCTGTGTGTGTGTGTGTGTGTGTGCATGTGTGTGCATGTGTATGTGTGTGTGCATGTGTATGTGTGTGTGTGTGTGCATGTGTGTGTGTGCATGTGTGTGTGTATGTGCATGTGTGCATGTGTGTGTGTATGCATGTGTGTGTATGTGCATGTGTGCATGTGTGTGTGTGTGCATGCATATGTGTGTGTATAAGAATACACCAAAACATGTAGAATGGCTCTTCCTAGCCAAGAGACGATTGTAACCGATTTCCTTTTCCTTTCCCAGAGTGCTCTGCTTTCCTCTAATTTTCTATAATGATCATGTCTGACCTAGAAAATATTTCAAAATGATTCAGCTAACAGCAATGACTCAGCCAGTGAGAACGCGGCCTGTGTCATTCAAGATCTCCTTCATAGAAACCTCTGGAGCTCGATCCCTCACCCTGGCGCTGCCAGTGTTGGCAAAGAGCAGAAGTGGGCTCCCAAAGCCCCCGTTCCCTGACATCTGGGACCAGAGTGAAGACATGGCCGTGTGTTGGCCTCTGCCTCCTTCCCTGGACCAGTCATAGGTCCAGAGGGCAGTGAGAAGCAGAGAGGACCACATTGTGGACCTAGCCGCGTGTGAGCTGGCATCCCAGCACGGTTACAGCGTCTTTACCTCCTGAGGCCTGGCCTCGTCTATAAACTTCTGAATAATTCCATTCATAGAGTCCTAAATGAGAGGAGAGGTAAAAGTTTAGTACTGGACTCATACCGCAACCGGCCTGGAATTGGTGTGTGCATGTGTGTGTGTG